AGACAGTCATTGAATGGGTTAAAAGAATGATGTGCTTCTTGTCAATGACTCAACATAATTTAATGGCATATTTTGCACCTACTTGATATAAAATATTCTGTAACCATGTTGGTAATCTAGGTCTTTTGAATCATTTGGAACTATTTAGAAAATTTACCATGGTTTGTCATCTTGTGAATATTTAATTTCAGTTTTTGGCACCAACTATTCAAACATTATCTTTTATTCAATTACAAAAATCAACTGAGTTTAATCCAGTCTTTCTGAGCCAAATCATAGGTCAAAATCGTTTTGCTAACTGTCTTAAAGCACCAGAGTCCGTCTCTTTTCCGAATCTGTCACAATTTCAATCAACTGTCTTTAACCCCCTCAGTTATTCCCGCCACGAACCCATGCTCCCGCCCTCTCCATTTTCCTACACTAGCATCACTGACGTCTCTAAAGAAAACACAACTTTGAAAACAAAAGGAACTATTAGTAGTGGATGATAGGCCAACCTCTGAATCAGTTTGTCACAGCAGTGCCCAGTGCCCCCCACCCCGTTATCCACAAGGGATATGTTCCAAGACCCCAGACAGTACCGAACCCTATAAATACTGTTTCTTCCTATACGTACGGACCTACCATAAAGTTCAGTTACCAAGGAGGCACAACGAGAGATTAACAGCGACAATAATAACACAGAACTACGATAACAGGAGATAGTAATAAAAGTTATGGGAACGTGGTCTCTCTCTCTGTCTCTTTCAAACCATCCCACTGGCCTCACCCGCCTCGGGAGCACAGGCGACCACACGGCGTCCGCACGCGGACTGACCGGAGGTGAGGGCAGAACGTCGCGCGGCGCGGGCGCAGTGACGTAGAGCTAGGCTACTATTGACCTTTGACAGATTCGTCAGAAGGACGAGCTCAGAGTCTCTGGACCTCAGGTGACCGCTGGGAATTGAAACGGCTGACGGGGAAACCACAGATAAGCAGGGGGAACTACCGTATATATGTGTTACCGAAATTCCGAATGCCAGCTCATTCAAGTTTGTAGAAAACTTTCTTCTATGTTGCATTCTTGTATATACTTACAATTTCTAAAAACCACTTAAGTGCATTTGAACTTGATAAAGTTACATATGTGTAGACTGTGGTTTTAGAGGGAGAGAGAACGGGGTTTAACAAACTAAACAAAATAGATTTCCAAAAAGAAATCTTGGAGGCCATCTAGTGTAACACTCCCCTTTTACAGGAACAGATCTACGGCCCGTAGAAGAAGCTCAGTACTGCCCAAGATCAGTAGTCTATCTGGAGAGCAAAAATTAGGATTTATGTCAGAGTGTTCTGTTTCTTTCTGAGATCAGTGAGTGGAGCATGACTAACCCAGCGGTGTCCTCTTGGCAGAGAGCAGACTTCATAACATGATTACCATAGTCAAGAGAAAGGTCCTGCACTGAGTTATAAGTTAAAGGCTGGTAGACGTTTAGGGGGGAAAAAAAAAAAGTTAAAAAAAAAAAAAAAAGTACCCGCTATGAGCCACATGCACAAACGAGACACGCCCCTTTTCATTCCTTTTCCACTATGGCTTTTATGAATTCCTGAAAGAAGCCAAGCATATTTGAAAATGTAGTGGAAAACACCATTCTTGTGCTCTATTTATGTAAGGGAAAGAGTATATGATAAAAAATAGTGTCACTTCCTAACCTATCCTTTTAGCAAATCATTACTGCTAGAATATATGTGTTTGGGATAAATACCACTTTGCAACAGACCTTTTATAAATTGCTCTCATATTTAAGAATGTTTTCTAAACAGTAGAAGTATCTTTTACAGTTGTATGAATGTCATTGAACAATGTCTAAATATAGAATAGTTGACTTATCTTATTCTGAACAGTAATAAATATTTATACATCTGGTTTCCTTGTCTTGGCTCATGTTCCTCCAACTGGCCTATCAGCATTTAAAAACACAGCGTCAAATTCAGTGTTTTGCTAAATTAGTTTAAGATACAGGTAAAAAGAAAATTGAATCATCTTATCTTTAATCTTGATAGCAGACCTTCCTTAGTCTCTCAGTATATCTTTCTTAAGTGCCTATTCGGTGTAAAATGATACATTTGTTGGTGTAATCAACCTCATTTGTAAGAATTAATTATTAGGTAATACTGAAAACCAGATTCAGAAGAGTTGATTAGGCACGGCTCCCTAGTTTTTTGGTTTTATCATTGGTTTGGGGTATTTACCTACGTTAAAGGTCAAGAAAATGCAGGTTCCGTGCAACATCCTTTACTGCTCTCAGCTAAAATATTTGACATTATGAATTACAAGGTCTTTACACAGCTCATAGTATTAGTATGTCGGACAACATGACTTTGAATACTTTAAATTCAGTATATTATATATTGTGATAAATTATCCTCTTTAGCATTTAATACTTTTACAACATAAGCCATTTGCACATTTTTTCATTGTTTCTATATTCTCATTTCAGAGGCTAGGTCTGAAATGTAATGAGCATTTTCAACCACTTTTTAAAAATGGCATAACATACTTTAATTAGTCCCAGTCCTATCTGATCTGTCTCTCATGCTTTTCTCTTATTAATATCTATCTACATAGATATTATCTATCTATCCATCTATCTCTACTTGTTTAGGATCACTTTCTTCCATTAGAAAGTAAGATTCAATGGATTAAGAGACCTTATCTCTCATGATCAGTATTTTATTCCCTGGAGTTTTAGACTAGGGCATGGCAAAGGGAAAATCTATTGCTTTATTAATACTTGTTAAATGAGTAAATGATTGACTGAAAACCCAAATTTTATGTCTCTCCTTGGTGCCTCTTAAAGGGACTGATTATATTTTGAGACAATGTGATCAGCCTTCTTTCTGGTGATTTTCAAGCTTTTTTGATCATGCCCCATAGAAATGCCTTTTATATTCTTATGGGTGTGTATTTGAACCAAAATATTCATAAAACAATGTTATTTTCTGCCATGAACTCTGATAATTAAATCTCAAAGTTATTGTAGTCTATTCAATTTATGGAAAAAATAATGCTGAAGAACAGAGGATTTTTAGAGCAGTGAAAGCAGTCCATGCAACACCCTACGGATAAGTTACATGTCATCATATATTTGTCCAAAGCCACAGAATGTACAACACCAAGAATGAACCTTAATGTAGCCTTCATATGAGCCCTATGTAATCAACTGTGTACCATACTGTAAGCTTTGAGTGATTACAATGTGTCAATGTATGATCACAAGTTGTAACCAATACACCACTGTATTTGGCCCTGTTGATAATGGCAGAGGCTACCCCTGTGTCTGGGCAAAGTGTATAGAGGACAACTTTGTAGTTTCCATTCAGTTTTGCTGTGAACCTAAAAGTTCGCTGAAAAAATGAAGTCTTAATAGAAAAAAAGTCATCATGTTGTTCTTGAAATTGACCTCACCGCCCACAAACCTGCAGTTTGTGAAACACTGTTCTAGACAAAAGGCCAGGAGATGAACCACATGAATCTTTGCATATATGGAAGGAACACCGGGAATCCTAGTCTGTGTTGGACTAAGTAATTGTCAAGTGTCTCTTTTCCTGAACTCCCTTCCCTTCTCAGCTGCTCCTGGCTCTGTTTATCTGGGTATCGCTGACTTCTCATACCCCATTCCTTCAGGGGCTGGAAGGCATAAAAGAGACTAGTAAATGTCTCTTCTAGGTCTCATCAGTGAGCAGCTGAGAAATTATGTAAATTTGGATTTTAATTCAGCTACAAAGCTAAATACTAAAATTATTTCACATAATTCTCGCCACAACCATACAGACTAAAAATCGCTACCCTTCTTTTCTAAGTAGAGACACTGGGGCTCAAGAGGTCCTGTGGTTTGCCCAAGGTGACAAGGCTAGTAAGGTGCCCGGCCCAGACCCTCCTGTTCCGAATGTAGTTCCTTCCGCTGGGGAGATAGAGGCGTGAGGCCAAAACTCCTAGAATCCAGAGTCCGTTCCTCTGGACCTCTGAGCTCCCAGATCCTGAGAAGAGGGAGGCCCAAAGGCCTGATGCTCCCTGCCTCTTGCTGTGGACCATGAAGAAAAAGAATGCGATGTTCTCATAACATCACCTTGCCAGGGTGCCCCAGCTCGACCCCACCCTGACCTTTAGCCGCTTCTCTTGTGCAGGGGGTGGGGGTGGGCATTCAAGGGCACCCCTAACCATTTCTGATACCCTTCCCCACGTGGGGCCATCACAGCTAGAGCCCCATGAGATACGGAGCATCTCTGTTCCCCTCCCACCCTGGGTGAATCACCTTGACTCAGCTAAGTTCACGCCGGAGCCCGGAGCTCACAGGAAACTCAGCCAAGCTCCTCTACCTTGCGGTATCCCACTTTCTCACCGAGTGACACCCTGAGTAAGCAGAATCTGATTCTGGCCCAACTCCAGGCCTCATCCCCAACGCCCCCAGCACCAGGGCATGAGTTCTGCCTCCTGGGCAGGAACTAGCCGGCCACCCGGGGAGCAGGGCTGGGACTTGAACCCCTGCCCCTCCTCCCAGCCCCCTGGCTCCCGATGTCCCGGCACTCGGGCGGGCGGACCCACCCGGGCTGACCCCCGGCAGGTAGGGAGAGCCAGGTCCCCCCTCCCAGCACCGCACCGGGGCCTGCCGGGGGCGGGGCGCAGCGCGCGCCTCCGGGCTCGGGGGCCGCGGGGCCGGCGGAGGACGCGGCCGCCCTGCGCGCTCGGGCGCCCGCCCGCCCGGGACGCCGCCCCCGCCGCCTGTGCTGCCGCCGCCGCCGGCCGCCGGAGGGGGCGGACCAGCGTCAACCTGTTGTGGGTCCGGCCACCGTCCGTCGGCCTGCGGCTGCACAAGGAAGTGCGGCGCCCACACGCGCTCCGAAAGTTGGGCATGCAGGAAGTGCGCGCCCCGCGCGGCCACTAGCTCCGCGGCCCGGCCCTCGCGCGGGAGCGCAGGCGGCGACAGCGCGGCGTCCGGCCCGGCGGCCCCGGCTTTCTCCTGCGGCCACGCGGTCCCCGGCTCGCGGCTCCCAATGCGCCCGCTCGGCCTCGTCTACACTCTGGTCTGCGCCAACTTTTGCAGCTATCGGGACGCGTCTGCAGCCCCGCAGAGCGCATCCATCAAAGCTCTGCGCAACGCCAACCTCAGGCGAGATGGTGAGAGATTCACATTTCATTTTCTGTAGTTTTTGAAAAGAAATCCCGTTGTTGTTGTTGTTGTCGTCGTCGTCACCGTTACTTCTTTTTAGAAACTTCTTCCTCCGAAGCCTGCTGAAGGCGGCGCGGCGGCGGGGCGGGGCGGGGGGGTGTCTCGTGCCTGCCCGCATTCCGGAGTGGGCCTGGGGGCTGCGGGACGCGGGCCGGCGGCGGGGGGACCACAAAGATCTGGCGGCTCCTTTGCTGCTCCCCGGAACACCCCTTCCTGCGCTGTAGTCACTGACCCAGGGTCCCGGAGCTGCAGGAAGTTGCAGCCCGCGCCGCCCCTCGGGGGGACTCAGGGGTGGCTCTTTCTGGATGGCCTATTTTATTTTTATTGTATCAGTAGGAGGACAGGGAATGGTGTCCTTCAGTCCTGCAGCCGTATCTGGAACAGAGAATTTGTATCTTATTTATTTGGGGGAGATGGAGGAATGCAGCGTTCCCTCTTTAGTCCCCAAAGGGCATTTCCCACGAGGGTGCAGCTGGGGCTCAGAAGCTGAGTCTGGGAGACTGGGACAGCCGGGGTCTCTTCAGTACCACAGGGGAATCCGGCTCCTGCCGTTAGTTTCCCGGCACGGAGGCTTTCCAACTGTTGCAAGGAGCAGGGCTGTTTAGTCCGTTAACCTCAGCAAGGTCCCAGGCAGGCTTGTTTGTTTTCCTTTGCTCTAGAGGACACCTGGGTCAGTGGGTCCCAGAGACTTGAATTGAGCTTATTTCGTTTCTGGGCTTCCACCAAGGTCCGAACTTGATTTATTCTTTTATTCTCAACTACAACTTTGCCGGTAATTTGAAGCTGTTTCTAGCATCTACCTGAAGTGACCCATAGGTTTTTGTTTTTTTTCCTTCATTGATACTATCTTCTTTCCATCTGCCTGCTGAGGGTTCTAACATATCCCCCAAAGAGCTCACCGCTGTTCTGAATGGCTTCACTGAGTTGGCAAAATATGTCTTCTCGTATATTCATAGTAGCCATCTTATTCCCTTATCAGTTTCTCTCTTGGTGTGACCTTAATTTAGACTTTACTACAAGGCTTTTGAACTTTGAAACAATAATAAAAGCCTACTATATTTTGTGATGACAAGTACGCTATGAATTTCAGCATGCTCAGGTCCTAGGAGGTGGGGTAGGTGTGTGGAGAGGGCACAGGGAAGCCTCAGGGTCACTTCCAGGCCAAAAGATGTCCCTATGTTTCCAGAATTATTTTATCACAGTGTTTTTATGTAAAATATTCCAGCAGTGGCTTGCCCTCCGTCTTAGTTAAAGCACAGAATTTTCTTACTAAAACTTAAAAAAAGTTTCAGGCTCAAGACCAAAATTTTATAGTTTTGCTTTCCTCATTAATGTTTCCACCAGGGACGATCTTCTAGTCGAGTTTTTAGATTTGTTAACGTTTGCACTCTGTATGCCCTCTTAGCTGTGTAGAATAAAATGCCATGTATAACTTGCATGACTTCATAGCCATAATTTTGTAATCCTCAACTCCCGAGTATCAGTTACAAGATGTCAAGGACGGAAAGCAAAAAGTATGTAACCATTGCCTGGTAACCCAAGATTCCAACTAAAACCAAGTCATGCAGCTCATGTTTTTTTTTAAAAGAATGCTCTCCTTTTAGTTTTCATTGTTAAAACTCTGTGCATCTATCTAGTCTATATGATAAAAGCTTTATTTTATCAGAATTTTGAAAACCACCCTGGACTGAATTATTCATATTTTAGTTAAAGCTGTTTTGCAGTTACTAATAGCACACATATGCACACACATTTTAATTAATTTGGATGACAACAATTTCCTCAATGTCACTCTGATTTTGCAAACAAAACTAGGAGTGGGGAAAGGTTAGATAAAGAAAGAATTGTCATGTACAGAAATGGAAAAAAAATTAATACTCATAATGGGTTGTTCATTTGGGGAATTTTCAAAAGGCATCTTATTCTTAAGTGTTACAGAGCACGCATTCTTAAAGAGAGACAAAATTGCCCCAAAGTAGCAAAATCAGATCTTAGAGGGTGAAAAAAATCTTAAGTACTACAATGGTTTGTGATCCTCCAAAGGGCCAATATATTTAAAGAGGTAGACTGTATCTGCAGTGTGAACATCTCATAGGGAGGGGGCATGATTAGAAAAAAAGTCTAAACAGGCTCTTGAAGGGAGGATTGATGATAAAGAAAAAAAAAATTGAGAAACACTGCCATAGGGTTTTGCTGAGAGAGTAAGAATAAAGGGTCTTTGGGAAAGTCTAGACATCATCTGGAAAATCTTAATCACAACAGTTGGGTTGTTGAAAGAAAGTACTAGTGTATTAAATTAAAACCCTTGTTCTGATTCCATACATTTTTAACTGGTTCCCCCAAAGTTCCTTTCTTAAGGAAGACAATAGTCTAGTTCTTTCGACTATCAGGTTAAGACAGGGTATAAGCCTGGAGAGGACATAGGCATAGACTGTAGTAAGGGGAAATTTAGAAGATAAAAGTTTCCAAACATTAACTTAGAGTCCTTAGAAGATCAGGCCCTCCAGTTACAAGTGGTAGGAAGTCACAATAAAAAATTAGCCATGACCCTTGGATGGGGTTTTAGGAACCAGTATTTAATGATGGAACTATCTTTATTCACAGTTAACTGCCATCAATTTGTTCCCGCAGACCCTGTTAGCTGCCACCTAATGCTTGAGTCGAGATAAGGACTCACAGGACAGGCATCCTGTCATGGGCATGGGATGTGCTGGATCCTGTCCAGCCTGACACACGAAAAACTTGTTTTTATTCTCTCTTTACCTGAGAGCTCCCAGTAGCTGGAGTGCCTAGAAACCATACGAAAGTATTGGAGTGGATAGATGATAATCTCCTTACCCAGTATGAGGGACTACTCTGCTGCTGTCTCCTGGCCTTCCAGAACTCTCTATCACAATATATTCCTATTGTAAAGGGGTATTTACAGACCCCTTCCCAGCACCTGCAGAAGGGCTCAAGGCGAGCCAATGGTGGGTGAATTTGGTCCCTGTCTCTAGGAGGAAACTAGGATACTAGAAGGAAACTAAGAAGGATAAAAGCATTATATTTGCAAAAAAAACCCCACAATATTTACACTTCCTTATATCATATTTACTTTTGATGCCCCTTCCTGATCTGCCTCCCAGCACAGGGAAAGTCTTACTTGAATAGTAGAATCCCCGTCTTCCCATTTCAGTGCCCGTGAAGTTGGTATTTTGTAATAACTAGCCGGAGCTGGTGTTGCTCAGAGTGTGGATCGAGAAATGTAAAGGTAGCAATTAACTGACAGTATTACTTACTTATTTTAAAATGGAACCAGACAGAACTTCCTGCTGTGGGGCGGGGGTTAAGGATACAGACACAGTCTCCATTTTCTTGGCCTTTTGTTGTGTTCTGTGTGGCTTTCTGGTGCTGTTGGGAAACGATTCTGAATTTAATGCTTCTTGGCCTCCTGTGCCAATACTTGAATTGTCTATTATGTTATCATTACCTAGTGATAAGCCTTCAGGTTTACTAATGTGGTCTTAGATCTTTAAGGAGTCAAGCTTGTGTCTTAGATAATGTGGGTTTGTGTCATCAGTGATAACAAAGATTAGATCTTTTAGGGAAGGAAACAAAAGAGGACAATGGAAGCAAATAATGAGGGTTTATTTGTTTTTTTGAAGTAGCCTTGACCTACATTATCCTCTCAAGACTCCCCTGCACGTAGGATATGCATTCTGTCCACTGCAGCATTATTTGCAATAAACAAATTATCTTTAAAGCGTCTGAAAGCTGAGAATCAGGTTAGTGTCAGATCTTGTGTTCTTCTGGGTTTATATTTTCTGTTCAACTCTAAGGGCATTAAAGTTTCATCATCTCATAGAGCATCCTGGGGATGGCATATTTTAAATGTAACGTGGCTTTGACGTGCTCCTGTGGCTTATGATATTTAATATAGGTTCTTCTCAAGATGGGAGTTTAAACAAGTGGACGGACATACACTCTGTAGGAGGAAATGCCACTAGGTTGTGAGTTACGGTAATGACATTGATTTTTGTCTATGGGATTTTCCCTTTCGGGGAATGAGAGCTAAACTTTATTGTTTTGGAACAGTATGGCCAACCAATGGAACAATGTCCCCACAGTCATTGATCTCTGATGACCAGTGATAAGCAAGCTGTCACACGGGTCTCCTGAGCATGCCTGGTCTTAACCTCTTCATTCTGCATCTGGAAGGGTGTGTGTGTATTCATGCCTCTATCCTTGAGAGCTGAGTCATAACGCATATCATCTCCCTTCTGGAACTACTCTTCTACTTTCCTTGCTGAATTGATCAGATTAGCTTAAAAAGGTGCTTCCTGGGCATCTTAATAAAATACTTCCTTGTATTAAAATAAGGATGTCTTCTAAGTGAGCCAGGTGTAGCTGCTCTTAGCTCATCTATGCCAAGTCCTTTAGGCAATGATTTGGTCCCTCACAAAGGAGTCGGATGACTTAAGGTGGAAGCCAAGCATGTTTGAGTTCTCTGTCCTTTCTTAAGGTTGTCTCTTTTTAGTTCGTTCCTTACTTGGTCTGGGCTGGCCTCTAAACATGAGAGGTTGACAATGAATGTGCAGATGGTTCTTTGTCCTAAGCTCTGCTGTTGGCCCCCACTGTAACTTACTCATCTCTATGCAATTATTTATTCTATCTCTAACCTTTGCCAGTTGCTATACTGGATGCATAGTTATCTAGCCCATTATGAATGAACCACATGCGTGGTTCCTGCCTCCTTCCAGCCTATGGCCTCCTGGACGATAGAGACAAATGCATACTTCGTGCCAGCTTATTACCATCATGTTTCAGACGCATTTGGGCGAGTCCCAGGATTCTGCACCCTTCTTCAACAGAACTATCCCACACGCATCTCTGCCTTTCTGCTTCACATATTTGAATCCATCAGAAGATTTTTAGGTGAAAAGGATTTCTTTTGCAGTGAGAAAAGTGT